TCTGATTGAATCTTGCATAAAATGTGATGGTGGTTTTTTTTAACGTAAAAGCACAAACAGCCTGAACTTTGTAATAGGAAATTGCCATTTCGTACCGCCTGTTACATCACTGGTCCCCTTGGCTTTCCCCTGTTCTTCAGGTATCCCACAGGTTCAGAGAACTGATGAAGCTGTTTCACACATCCTGCGACGGGAGCTCGGAAGATGAGGAGGACGCAACTAGTACCAGTAACACGGACCAGCTGTCAGATAAAGATCTTCTGCTTTCTGAGGAAGAACCTGATGACTAAGGTTTTCCTGGCTTGATAAGCTACTGAATTTCCAGGAGAGTTGTTTGCTGCTAGACAGGTGCTGTGGGTCAAGGAAAAATATTTGCACGGGTACTTAAGACAGCACCTTTTTTGTTGTTCACTTTCTGCTACGCTCCTGACAAGCTGCACTTCTCCATCCGTATCGAACGGAAGGAATGAAGGAAGTCGTTAGGGTGGTGACATCCTCTAGAACCTACGTGACCTGACAGAAGCGATGCTTGTGGACACCGACCTCGGTCCGTGGTGAAGACTGGGCCACCGGCCTTTGAAAAGACGGTGTAAATATTGTACCATAACACGTCTGGTTTCACGTGGAACACACACACGATTTTTTTTGTAAGTTTTCCCCTTGTGTTGATTGTACGTGGGAAAGCTACAATCAGAATTCTGTATTTATTGTGTGGTCTTATTCTAACAGGCAGAGCGAATTCACTTTGCCAAGTTAAACAAAAACAAACGACAAACACAAAACAAGCAAAATCAGCCCCCAAAAAGCAGTTTTCCTCCTTTACAACACAACTTCAGCCAGCCTTTGCGACAGGATTTCGCTGAAATGAAAAGAGGAGCCGTTGGGCCATCTTTAAAGCCGTTCCCTTTATTTCGAAAGTGATCTTAAAAGATAATTCTTACTTCTGCGCTCTCTAGTAATAAAGAGGAGTTAGTCTGAATCTGCTTCATCTTCAGATCCCTCTGCTTCAAACCCCGTTTCGTAGCACTGTGACAGAGTTCTTAGCTCCTCTAAGGCCTCCTGGAAGTCGCCCTCTTCAACTCCGGCAGAGAAGAAGCTGGCCCAGCGCCGCAGGTTCAGCTTCTGTAGGTCCCCGTATAAGCTGTAGAGGAGCGTGCGCAGCACCGGTGAGGACTGCAGGGCTGCTAGCACAGGGATGCTTTCAACAGCTGCCGGGAAAAACACCTTTCTTTAAATATCAATCAAAGTTTGTTTCCCTGCCCTATTCTGCTTTACAAGCAGTTGCTTCACTTGCACTCAGTGTAGAAGTTGCTCAACGCTCATAATTTTTGCCCTACAAACACTCCAAATTGGTGGGGGTTTTTTTTAAATTATTCTCTCTTACCTCTGTTAGACCCTCCTGCCCCCACACGATCTCTTTCTGTTGCCAAGTTGAAGGAGCATTTGTTACCTGCTGAGGAGTAACTGGGAGGTTTGTCCAGGAGGAAGCCTTGTCTGCTCAGGAGAGGAGAAAAAAACTGGGGGTACGGCGGCAGGGTATCGCATGGCTGCGCGAGCACGTGGGACGTGCTGGAAGGGAGGAGGTGAATAAAGTTACCCAAAACGTGCTCTACCTCCAGTCTCCAGTTCCCTGTTCTAAAATAAAAGCAAAGAGACTGTTGCCAACCTGAACGCCCCGGGAAAGGCGGTGTGCAGGTAATGCTGCAGAATCTGCTCGGCGCTCTCACAGGCGTGGAGCGGAGAAGCGGGCTGCTTTCCTGGACAGCAGCTGCAGAGAAAACCAAGTCACGGTTTTCCAGGGGACTGGCCTGAAAATGTTGGTGTCTCAGCTGCCTTTTTAGCTGTTTTGCTATAAAGTTGGTAGTGTGTAACTGGCTAGATGCCTAGGCTTTCCCCCCCCCCCCCCCCCTATCCTCCCACCCCCTTAAAGCGCCGTCTTTGAACCTAATAGGAGACTTCTGTAAGAAATCCTTGCTGTTGAGCGCCAGAGCTGCGAAGGGAAAAGCGCGGTTCAAATGCCGATTACCTGATGTGACTTTCTTTGCAAAGTCCTCGTAGCACAACAGACTGAGCAAAACAGCAGCTGACCTTCTAGACCCCCCCGCCGGTGTCCGGGACGGCTGTCAAGTGGCAGGGGTAGAGCTGGAAGGATCGGAGGCTGCCGTTCTCTCTGCCCTTACCTTTCTCCCAGAGAAGTTCAGGGTCTCAGCAAGGTGCATCATCGAGCCCCGCGAGGAGGAGAGCCGGTACGGAGCAGTGAGGGTATCGAGCGCTGCTGCCAGAATTGCGCTACTGTGGTAGTTAAGCGATGCCTGCGGAGGGAGACAAATGGAAGAGGTACGGGAGAAGTTAAATTCATCTGTTCCTCAACCGAGTTTTGTGTATTTAGCATAGTGTAAGTTGTGCTTTTATATAGGTTGTGGTTAACGGTTATTTCAGGTTTTGGATAAGCCAGTCAGCTGTTTGCTAACAATCTGTTGGCAGCTTTCTTAGCAGCAGCATGTCAGTGCTCAGACCGGGCTGGAGTCACATCCTCCGCACGTGAATAATGCGGTAAAGCATTTTTTTCCGTGCTGAAAGTGAAGGCAGTACACCAACTGAAAGACTGCAAAAAAGGAAACGTGTTCTTATTTTTAAGGGAATGAAAAGTTGGCAGTTAAGTCCCCGCTAACAGTGAAAAAGCGGGGGGGGGGGAATCTTTTCTGCTTAGCAGAACACCATCATGAAAAAACATGGCTAAAACTACGCAGCTGCAGAAACCGCTTTGAGAGCGGCAAATCCGCAAAAGCTGAAAGCCAACCAAGGGAGGTGGCGCTCCCAGGTAAACCGCCAGACGGTACGTACGTCATAGTTTATGTATGGAAACGTAACAGGAGGTTGGGGCTTGATTCCTAGGCTCCCACTGAGCGACAGGGGGCAAAAGAGCGAGCTGTGACTGGAGAGACGGACGATTCCGAGGGCTGTGTTCATCAGCCTGTAAAAATTCTTCTGAAAATCCTGGGGGGAAAAAAGTCCAACCATTAGAATCCGAGAGACGCAAACAAGAAAGGGTCTCATCCGGCCTGGGCGCAAAAGCGTCCCCTGTTCCTGGTTTTTCCCATTGCTCACTTACTCCCTCGTTACTCGTGACCGGAGTCAGGCCCCAGGTCAGGATTCCTTTTCCTGAATACTCATCGTAGAGCAGTTCTGTCACCTTGGCCCCGACTCCAGAGAAGCCATTGTGTAGGTCACAGAGGACTTGAAATCCCTGTGTGAGATGATGGCAGCATCTGAGATTCTACTTAAGCTTGAACAGAAAGTTTCTTGAAAGAAAAGGGAGTTTGGACAAAGCTGTCAGACCTGCAGATAATCACACTCTTCAACATAGAAGTGCAACCGATCTTCCAGCTCCTCTACGCAGCCAGGATCCTGCAGGAGACTTTCACCTTGCCCAAAGGCTTCTAGACAACCACAGTCCCTAGGGAAAAAAGCTTATTCCAGCCCTTCGTTTTTCCTTGAAGGACAAGAGATCCTGAACCAAAGCTCTAGGCCGTACCCATCGTGCATGTACTGATGGATGACGTAGACGCTCTTGGGATGCAAGCGCACGTTGAGGTAATCGGACCAGACCTGCACGCTGCCGCCCGAGCGAACCTCCTGGGAAAGAGCGAGGCGCGAAGGGGCAGGAGAGGTGCCTGGAACGAGACAGGCGTGAAGAGCGAAGGAGGTTTCAACTCTGAACACCCCCTTGAATAAAGAAAACAAAGCTGGCTTTTTCTCTCATTCCGTTTCTTAACCTATTTGCTGCTCTTTGACCCATCCTTGGGTAAGCCAAGAAACCTTATCCCATGGCTCCCCTCCTCCCCTCGTGCTCGTTCACTGATGCGTTGTCCACATCAGCCTGCTGTCGCAGGGCTCGTTCCCCCTTTCTGGAGCTCTTTGATGGCAGCAAGTAAACCAAAGCCCTCGGGACCGCGCGAAGCGGGCCAACCACCCAGGCGACGCACAGACCTTGCGCGGCGGTGCCGGAGCCTCCCGTTCCGGCCGAGGACGCGGCGTCCTACGGGAAGAGCGCGGCGCGCAGTCAGGCCACGCTTGGCCTCGTCCCTCCACGCCTGAGCGATCGACCCAAACGCCACGAGGGAAACGAACCCGCGATGCAGCCGGCGGGGCCCGGGCAAGCGCTCGCCCGCGGGCTGGCCCAACAAAAAAAAACCCCGGGACCCCCGGGAC